ATCCTATGGGATCACTTCAAGACAGTGGCAACTTCCACGGGAACTATTAGGGTAGGGGGTTTGATTACACATTTAGCCACACTCTATGGGTTTGTAGACCCAGGCCCCATTACCTCAGCACAGGTTGTTTGCACATCATGGCTCCTGAAAAATACCAAAGATATTGTTTTTTCCCATAAAACACCCGGTGGGGTAGATATCTACAATTGGTTAATCGATCCACCACATCCCATTTACACACAAATACCCTCATCCGACCTCCCTTTGGACCTTCTGAATCACCAAATTGGTGATGGACACCACTATTGTCTCCTTGGAAGAATACCACTCCACTACCAACAAGAACAACCCCAACAAGAACAGCCTGCGCATGAACCACCACCCCTCATTCCTGAATGATGTCAGTTTTCTCGCACTTAAAATAGATCGTAATATAGTGGTGTAAGTACGAGTATCGTCTCCACAGGGACGGACAAAAGGGAATCAAGAATTAATTAAATTCAGCGATTAAAAAGAAAATAAAATAAAAGCGTCGTGCAAGATTGGTTGGTTTGGAAAATAAAACTAATGCGAACAATTAAACTAGGGGGTTCTTTCTAATTAATGACGAAGGGAACAGAGATCGATTCCGGGGGTAACCAGATTTCCGGCAGATCAGGCCTAATTTCATGAAATTAATTTAATTGAGCCTAGCTAATCATTACTAAGTTCTTACCGCTCTCGCGGCGTAGAGTACAATAATTTAGGGGACCATGATGATCTCTCATGCGACAAGATCCTAAATTATTGCCAAGACAAGCGAGCTTACGGCCCCTTAATCGCTACTAATCTATTAGCGAACGATTAAGTGTACGTGAATGTGTCCTAGAACAAATTAGATCTCTCTTAATTTATTCTACATGCAATTGTAATTCTAGTCGCGATTCTAGGTTACAAAAGATATCAATTAAATTATTCAAACACAAATTAAGCGGCATTCATGCAATTACACCGAAAAGAGTCTAGCCATACATCATGATTAACCCCTTCATCAATCCCAAATCCCTAATTAAAACTACTCACAATTCATAATTGAAGAATCAATAGAATTGGAATAAAACGAATTAATTGTCATTAATTAAAAAGGTGGAACTTACAAAGAATCCCAAAAGATTGATGAACAAGGCTGAAAAGCCCTCTAAAATTTGTGCTAGGCACTCTCTCTATGCCCCCCCCTTCAAAACGGGGGTTTACAGGTTGTTTAAATAGAAAAATCGGGTGAAATTTGAGCTGAATTAGGATTTTCAGAGCCAGACACGATGTCAGGCACTATCGTGCCTTCGATCGTGCCTCCGGAGCAAAAACGCGCATTTTGGGCAAGCACGATCGTGCCTCCCTCCAGGCACGATCGTGCCTGGCTGGCAGTAGCTCCGCGGTGCTTTTCTCATCATGCACGATCGTGTCTGACTTTGAGGGCACGATCGTGCCTACTTAACTTCCAAATTTGACGAAACTTCCTTCATGAAAGTTGTAGATAATGAAGTCCTCTATCCACCCCAATTTGCCGAATGTGATTTGAATCATCCAATCAAGAGATATGATCAAAACGGTGGAAGGTGTCTTTCTGATATCGCAGCAAAGATCATCTGACTTCATCGTCTGTTTTCACCTTCTTCCTCTCATATTATCGCAAAGGTGTCTTCATATCATTTGTAGCCCTTGAAGTTGGATCTCCTATGGAACTTGAATCGTGTACATTGAATGTTTATTCAAAGAGATATGCTTGAACGATTGACAGAAGGTCATCCTGATCGTCGTTTTCAAGCTTCATTCATCTTCTTTTGATCCCAAAGCCAGTCCTAGAGCTCTTTTTCCTTCAAATCTTCATCGTGAATCTTCCGGTGACCTCCAATCCTATCAAATCATTCTCAAATGCTTCTCAAATCATCCCGATTGTTCCTCAAGTGCCAGTGCCGGGCTCAAATTCCCTGATTTTGACTACAAACAACGTAACACAAAACTCGAACCAACGCCCGGTAAACATAACTTGAGCTAAAATTGAGACTTGTAACACCTTAAAACTAGGAAAATCATCAAAAGCCGATCTCAACACGCATCAAATACGTGTCAAAATACGGACTTATCACTGAACATCCTCAACCACAACCCAATGCTCACCAATATTCACCATTTGAGCAAGAAATGCTAATTAAATAGCATGAATGCTCTAACCCTTAACTACACTCAACTTCGGGAGGAAGTTGTTTTGTATAGAACTGAGCAAAGGCAGAACTATGAGAGGATCGAGGAGCAAAGGCAAGCGGATTGGCGGAGATACAAAGAAGATCGGCGGAGAGATCAGGAGGACCAGAGGAGGACTTTTGGCCCTATCCACTCCTATGTAGCACATCAGGGTGATTTTGCCGCTATGACTCCTCCTCCTCCGACACCCTCATGGTATAACCCCACGGAATGGGGTAATTTTGGCGGTTCGAGCTCTAGTGGTGGAGGCGGAAACGATGGATACGGCGGTGATCACATGGATGAGGACACACACTTTGGGGGCAACCAGGGCTATGGAGGATTCTATGATGGCGGAGATGCGGGCGGGCAATAGGGACTGTGCCATGGACTAGCGGTGGGGGAGATCTTTCCGGTATGCTCACACTCATACTCTTGATTCTTGCTTTTAAAAAATAAAAATAAAAATAAAAATAAAAATAAAAAAAAAAAAAATAAAACAGCTTGTTAAGTTGAAAACCCACAAAGGGCAGCTTAAGCAAAAATAAAGCAAAAATAAGAGTGAGTTTGTGAGATTTGTTGAAGAAAAATGTGGGAAGCTGGGTTGAAAACCCGAAAGGGCACCTAGGCAAAATGAGAGAATGAGATAAAGTATTTCTTTTGATTTTGCAGGATCCTAAGGGTGGTTACTAAAGAAAGTTCATTGCATGAGGGAAAAGAAGTTGAAGACCCCTTGATGTATTCTTTTTATGTTGGGGATACTTTGTGAATATCTTGGTTCTAAAAACACTTTGTGATGGTTAATGATCTTATCATTTGAGGATTTCTTGGATTGCATTTACTCGAGACGAGTAAAGATTCAAGTGTGGGGTATTTGATATGCACTAGTTTGTAGGGCATAAATGTATGTTTTTATATTTATTCTGTGTGGATTGTTTACCGTTTTTAGTTAGTTTGTAAGCATTTGTTTTGTCGTGTTTGTAAATGTTTGTAGCTTCCATTTATAGTTGTAAAATAGTGTTTGAGCTTTTTGGCAAGGAAAAATGAGAAAAGTCAACAGGAATGCTGCCTAGGGAAATCCACCCGACCGGGTAGAAATCTTCACCCGGTCGGGTCTGATTTGAAATCAGAACCCCACAGGAAAGAGCTAGACCCAGTCGGGTCAAGTAATTCACCCGGTCGGGTCAGATGTGACCGGGGACATTTTAACGTGCTAAAACACAAGAACGTGGAAGATTATCTGATTTAGACATGCACCCGGTCGGGTGGGCACTTGACCCGGTCGGGTACCCGGCCCAAGGTGTTGAAAAACACCTATAAATAGCACATTTTCCCTTCACAAAAGAGGATCCCTTCTTCCTTATACTTAAGCTCAGTTTAGAATAGTTATTTCTTTTATATTTTTATAGCTTGTTTAGTCTTCAAATGAGGAGCTAAACTTCCATTTCTTGGTGTTGCTCTTGAAGCTTGTTGATTATTAAAGTTGTGAGTTATTTTCTTAACTTCTTCCCTTAAATATTAATTATTCTCTTAATCTATCTATATATTAATGTTGGGGAGTGTTGCCAAGATGACAATTAGTTAACATCTTGACATTAGTTATAGTCGTATTTATCTTCTTCCTCTATATATTAATGTTGGGGAGCGTTGCTAAGATGACAATTAGATAACATCTTGACATTAGTTATAGTAGGATTATTCATATTTAATCTTCTTCCTTGAATATTAATTCTTCCCTTAACTTATCTCTATGTTAATGTTGGGGAGTGTTGCTAAGATGACAATTAGTTAACATCTCGACATTAATTACTACTAGAAACGACCAACGAACCGATGGTTAATCATTGATGGTTTCACAAGTAAGTAACTTCGGTTTATTAATGCACGGTCGTGGTTGATAAACTTAAGAGGGATTAATTTTGTTGGTTAAACCGAAACCGTTGTGTTGAGGTTATCAATCTCAATTGATTTCATCAAGGAGTTAAGAGATTAAATGCTACTATCAAGTCGGTATATGGCGGTATTCTATATTTGACTAATAGTAAGGGTTATTAATGAACGGTCGTTGTTAATAACTACCCGCGATGAATTGGATATACTCCTCGATTGAGTATTCGAGAGGGGATAAGTTATAGATATAACAATGATCGACTAAAATATATCAACAAGTGGAAAGTAGCAATGCCAAGTCCTTCTATTCATGAATTTAATCTCATATAACTCGTTCATCTTCGTGTTTAATTTAATTAAATCATTCAATCCTAAAAACTCTCTTTTATTTACTAGTTCATAAAAAGAGAATTATTCCTTTCCCTGTGGATACGAACTCTACTTCACTATACTACGTATTACTGCTAGTATTGAATTTATTTTGACGCACCGTGACAAAGTGCTCATAAGATGGTACAATCATATCACATGCAAGTCCCTTGTATCCCTTACTCCTACATTGTCACTGATTCTAACATCACGAAATACTCTACTTACGGTATCTTCATATCTTTGGAACCTTTTAGCCACATCCCAGTTTGAGAGTCCCAAAGCTATAGTGTATATAATATACCAATTTTTTCTTCAATTGTAATTTTGTTACTTGATGTTAAAGCATATCTTGAACGCAAATCCTTACATAAGCATTGGAATAGAGTTGGAGACATCCTACTAAAGGCATGACACAACGAATAGAATGATTGTTTAACACGGCTTTCATTCAAGACTTTCCGCTTAAAGCCAAAGTCATGCAAAGCTACTACTTATACATATGTTCGTAATAATGGAAAGCAATAATAGCATTTGTATTGTGAATAGTAATCTTGACCATAGTAAGAAGCATAAGCTCATTGTCTTCGTTGGGGTTATTTTTATATACCTCCCTTGAGGTTTAAACATTTGACACTTGAATACAAAGTATGAATATATTATTGATATCCCCCTTTCTCCCTAACATATACTCCGTATCTTTGGCGGTGGGATGGTTATCCCTATTGATAAACTAAAAGAAATAAAAACGGACACTTACACTGCAGGAAATCTTCCACAGATATTGATGTCTTTTGATATAAATCATCTCTTCCCTAAACTCTCATATTTCTTTCTCCTGGCCCTTCGTATACACCAGCTCACTCGAATTATTCATCCCAAACTCATTCCAAATGTGCTCTCTCTAAAGTTGGTCTTTGTATAATATGTTGGGAGGGGAGTTCCAGCGACTTCTGGAGATGGACGTCCAACCCAGGTATCAATTAATTTTGTTTTTTTGGATAATCTACTTAATTAGTTACTTTTGAAAATTATTACTCCGTACTCTATATTTTTTTCAAAATGACGCCTCTTTTTTTTTTAATTATTGAAGTTCATCTTTCTTAAAGATGGTGCTTCAGATTATGAGTATATAATACTCCAAATGACCGGACTCCAAATGGTTACATTTTTTCAGATTGGTGCGTACATATGATTACTCCAAATGACCGGATTTTTCTTTGCTAACAAACACTTTTATAATTCTTCAAAAAATAGATTACTCTAAGTTACGTTATGTGTTTCTTTATTTTTGTCACTAAAACATGTTTAATAGACTCAACTCTTTTATAGATTAGCCTTTTATATTTTTGTAGTGCTTCGTAACATCATCTTAGTCAAAATTATTTCTTGATTTTCACTTAAATGTGAACATTATGAGTTAAAAGCACGTTAGAAGAATTTAGAGCAACTTTTATGATGTCAATATGAAGAGTGCAAAGTTCTAAGCCACATTAATAGACTCAACCCTTGTTCCACTTAATATATTTAGTTTTGACAGAGTACACATTAATAGACTGAACTCTTGTTCCACTTAATATATTTAGTTTTGACAACAGAGTACACATTAATAGACTCAACCCTAGTTCCACTTAATATATTTAGTTTTGATAGAGTACTATTTTTTTATTGTACTGCTCATTTAACTTTTTTTGTTGCCTTTAAATGATCTTTACATTTCTTGTGCAGCTTATATTACTTTGACATTGAGACTGTAGTTGGAGGTGAAATATTTCAGCTTGGGTTAGCTATCCCCGAGAAGTATAGTTTGCATAATCTCTAGACTGACTTAAAGATTGCATGTAGAATTTATGGTATTTATGAAGCAAAGAAGTTACACGTTGAAGCTATAATTCCGTGGGAAAATGAAACAAAGACGATTCTGAATGATGAGGATCTATTTAATACATTTAAACAACTTAGAAAGAAAATGTATTCCTCTACAAGATTTGTGGTTTCAACAGTTGATGAAGAGTCCCAAATTGAAATACTGGTAGTTACTACACATAATGAGGACAACTCAGATCTCGATCTTAAAGACACACTAGATGATGAGGGTGATATTGATCCAACTAGAGAAGTTGAACTCCTTCTAAATGAGGATGTGCACCCTCATGTTTTTGCCGTTAGTTCAAAGGATGAACCGGAGTTTGTCAATGATGATGGCTATGAGTACAATCCATCAAGCTCAGAGTTTGATGATCAATACATCGGCAGAGAAGACGATGGGAGCCATCTTGATGATTACCAGTCTGGAGATGATAGTGACTATGAATCTGATGATAATACCAAAGAAGTGGAATGTAATCGCTATGAGGCAGGTTCTGGTGGATTTGAGTTTAATGTTATAGGTGATAATATAATATTAAAGCCTGGGAAACTCTTTGTAAATGTGAATGAGTTCAGAAAAGTGTTACAGATATTTGCTATTCGAAATGGGTTTAGATTGAAAAGACTAAAGAATGAGAAATCAAGAGTCACTGAAAAGTGTGCTGCTGATGGTTGCACATGGAGAATTCATGCAAGTCCGAATTGGAACTAAAGAACTTTTCAAGTAAAGACCTATTGCTCCGAACACACATGTGCACGAATTGATGATAATTATGAAGCAAACTCCACATGGATAGCAGCAAACTATCTACATCTATTCAAGGCTAACCATGACATTAACATCACTGTCATTCCTGCAGAATTACTGAAGACGTATGGTGTGGAGTGCAACAATCAACGGTTGTACAGAGCAAAAAAGAAAGCCATGCAACTTCTTGGCCAAGATCACAAGACAAGCTATTCCAAACTACACAGGTACTCCGAGGCTTTGAGCAATACCAATCCTGGAACTACAGTTTCACTTCAGGCGGATTGGCTAGGAGGCGTTGAATACCCTTATTTCAAGAGGTTTTTTGTGTGCTTGGATGGGAATAGAAGAGGTTTCATTGAAGGTTGCATACAGTTCATTGGACTTGATGGGTGCCACCTAAAGGGCCCTTATAAAGGAGTCTTACTTTCAGTTGTTAGAATTGATGCAAACCATGGCCTCTACCCTTTGGCAATAGCTGTAGTCGACAAAGAAAATAAAGATTCATGGAAGTTCTTTTTAGATAATTTGTATGACCAAGTGTGGTTGTAATGGCGGTGAAGGAATTTGATTTATGAGTGATAGACAAAAGGGTATTTTAAATGCCTTATCTACTGTCTTCCCTAATTCTCTTAAAAGATATTGTTGCAGACACATCTATGCAAATTTTAAGAAGAAGTTTTCGAGTGAGCTTTTGAAGAATACATTTTGGAGGGCTTGTAGGAGTTTTGATGTGACTAGATCTAATTCCAACATGGAAGAACTAAATTCGTTGTCTCCTCAAGGTCATGAGTGGCTAATGAACGTACCTACAGTTTGTTGGGCAAAGCATATGTTCTCAAAACACACAAAGTGCAATCACGTTACTAATAACATGACAGAATCTTTTAACAATTGGATTGGGAATTACAGAGGTATGCCCATTGTTCGTATGTATGAAGAGATAAGACGAAAGATAATGAGGCTAATACACAAGAGAAATATGGTTGCCCAAGAGTGGAAAGGTGACCTACCGCCGATTGTAAGAAAGAAGGTTATTGAAAACCGAGCTAATGCTAGGTCTTTGTCTGTGATCTTTGGCCAAAACAATACATTTGAGGTAATGGAAGATATTTCCAAGATCAATGTGTTGGATTTACAGGAGAAGAAATGTGACTGCATGGAATGGGAAATATCTGGCCTTCCTTGCAAATATGTTATATGTTGCATTGATGCTTAGAGACATCATGTGAAGACTATGTGCACCGGCTACTGAAGAAGGAATCTTTCTTGGCAACTTACAAGCACCAGCTCAATCCTGTCCCTGATGAGAAGAAATGGCCCCTGGTTCTTGAAGACAATTTGCAACCACCTACCATTATTAGGGCAGTTGGCAGACCTTAACTCAAGAGACGGAAGGAAGACGGTGAATGCTCTTCATTCAAACGAAGTGCAAACGTTAGGTGCTCAAAATGTGATCAATGGGGACACAACAAAAGAACTTGCACGACGGTAAAAAGAACATATATAAATGATTTTAAGTTTTAACCATTACATTTGAAAGTTAATGTGGAATGAGTCATTTTTATTTTTATTTTTAGGTATCTACCCCATCCAAGGGACCAAGGACATATGAGTCTCAGCCAACAGCCCATGATGATATTGGTAAGTTGTATTGTCATTGAATATTTTAATAAGTTAAAGTGTTTCTAGTCGTTTAAAGCTTGTAATATTACAAAATAATTTGCAGGGCAATCAAATCCAGATTGATACAGATCACTAGAGATGAAGCATATATTCAGCAGACTTGTTAAATATATTTAACACATATTAATACTTTTGTTGGCGTGGGGATAAGATCTTGCAACACATTTGATGCATTGCAGTGATCGAAAAAGATGTTGTGCCATCTTCTACTTAAACTAACTTATAGTTTGAGCTTTTGCTGTATTTTGCTGGAATATTTTGCTAAAACTGGTTTGCACTTTAGATGCCAAAGTGTTATGTCTCTTTTTGTAAAGACTGTTAGTAGAACATATCATCTCAAACAAGGTTCTGCTAATTACTGTAATATGTTCTTGATTATGCCACTTTTTGCTTACCTTAGTCATCTAGTGGGTTAGCTATTGACGTTATGTATATTCAGGGTGATTTATTAATTCTATTTGTTCTCAAAGTTAAGTAGTGCTCCGTATTTGGGATTCACACGGAAAGATTGATGGTAAATTTGATGTGTGACCAATATAGGATATTTTTAAGAAAAAATGGTCAAATAAACACTTCTACTTTTTCGAAACAATCACATAAACCCTTGTACAAAAATAAACATCATATAGATACACTTAGTGACTAAAAATGATCAATTAGACCAATATGACTTGAAATGACCTGTTGTAGCAGGTAAAGGATCTTTATTCAAGTTCATTCATACTCTATGTACCAGCTTTGTAGGGGTGGCTTTTTTTTAATTTTCTTTTTCTTTATCTTTCATATATACGTATAGTAGTACGCACTCCGTATCAATTCTCTTTCCTTTTCTATTTTAAAATCGTACGTATTCTTTTTATACGTAATCATTTCATACGGAGTATACACGTATAGAGTATTAGGCCTGGGACCGGTTCGGTTCCTAGGCAAAATATGTGGAACCGTTTGAAAATATGAAATTTTACTAACGGTTTGGTTCTTATAAATTATTTGATAGAACCGATAAAGAACCGAACCGTTCTTAACGGTTCGGTTCTTGTCATTTAACGGTTCCTAGTCTTTGATTTTTTTTTTTTACAAATTACAACTAAATTTTTGGAAAAAAAAACATTCAACGTTGAAAATTACAATACAAATATGTTGAACCAGTTAAAGAGAATAATAATTTGAAATAGTTTGGACCTTCTGAGTTCCGACCCGCTGGAGTTTGGACCTAATGAGAGAACCAGTTCTCTTAGGCCTAAGAAGCCTAAGAGAACCGGTTGAAGTGAATAATAGTTTTAAATAGTTAAATAACAAAACTAAAACAATGAATGTAATATAAAAATAAGTAAGTAAATATGCATTAAAAATATATATCCTCCTAAGAATATGTATATAATTTTAATTATTATATATAACGGTTCCTTAACGGTTCTTGGTACATATTTTTTTCAGGAACCGAGAACCGAACCGTTAATAAAAAATAGGAACCGAACCGTTAACAAATAACTAATAAATGTTGGAACCGAACCGAGTCATAACGGTTCGGTCCGGTTCGGTTCTCCGGTTCTTGGTTCCAAAGTCCCAGCCCTATAGAGTATTCCATGTCAATTTTCTTTCAATTCTATTTTTTCCCCTGTTTTGCTTCAAAAATAAAAATGGATGCTGCTCCACAATTTTCTTTCCATTTTCTTTTCATTTTCAAATCTTTGCTACAAATAAAAATGTTTCAGACAAGAGAAAAAATTGTATAATTTTTATACAGATTTTCAATATGGTTAATTAAAGTAAGATTACAGAAAAAACGTCGATAGAAAAATCTAATTTTATAAACAATAGATGTTTGGTTAGACAAAAAATGTTTTAGGCGGAGTTTTAAATTGTACTCCGTATATTTTTATACACGTTTTTAAAATCTTTCTTACTGGTATTTTATGTTTGTAAAATATATAAAACATATCGGTCAAAAAAACTACTTTTACAAACAATAAATGTGTGACACAAAAAATCATACACATTTTTGTTTAGTACGATTTTTGTTTGTATGAGGCTATGTATCGGACTGTTATTGTTTATAAATTCAACTTTTGTGTTCGACATTTTTATATTTGTGCTAACATTAGAGGCAAAAAAGTGTCGTTGTGAAGAATTTTGAAATTGTATACAAAATGCGTAATTTTGACCGTGTTAAAATATGATAGTCAAACGGTACAATGATTCTTGAATTCATATTCTTAAAAATCTATCAAATGAAAATACTCAATTCAAAATATTTAAATTGGATTGAATGAGAGAAAGATTTGATAAAAATCAGGAAAAACTTATGGAATTTAAAGTTGTTTATATAAAAGTTAGATATGTATATTAATGAAAAGTAATAAAAATACAAAAATAATCGGCTATTAGTCCTAAATATGACTAACAATAGACCTAAATGTAACAATGGGACTATAATTCTTTTATTACCAAAATGGAAGTAATTTATATTCTAGCACCACTAGCTCCGGTCACCGTAAAATTTTCATCTTGTGTAAACAAGACCCGACTTAAACAAACCAGGCCAGACTAAACAGACCAGATCAGACCAGACCAGACTAGACCAGACCAGCAAATTACAATCCAAGTAAAAACATCTTTAGTCTTATTTCGGGAATTTATATTTTAAGCTCGTATTGTTTCAATTTTGGTTTTATTCAATCCGAGAAATCTTCCAAAAATAATTTTAGATCTCCTTGTAAGACAATAAGACATTATTATCCGTTTTCTCTTAGATCAAAAGTAAAGTAAAGATACGGGGAAGAAATTTTTGCATTTTAGTGGAAGGCAAAAGAACGAAAAGAAAAATGAAAAAGCTAATGAAAAAGGAAAAAAAAAATTAAAAAAGACCCAAGACCTGCTATAGCGGGTATCCATCATTTAATAGTAAATGTGTAGAGAGGTTGAAGTGACTTATTTGATATAGTAGAAGGGTGTATATAGGGCCGGCTCTGACACTGTGCAGGCAGTGCAGCCGCACAGGGCCCAATTTGGGTGGAGGACCCAATCGTTAATTAGGGCTAATATATGTATTTTTGCAATCGGGAAGGTTGTCAAATGATTTTTGCAAGTAACTGGTCCGGAATATGTATTTTCCGGACCAGTTAACTTGCAAAATCATTTGACGACCTTCCCGATTGAATTTTTTTCTGAAATTTGGTATGGATGAACTAGACTTGATGAGGAACATACACAAAAAATTTGAGCAAAAAATACCACCGGGAAGGCCCCCAAAAGGAGGAGGCCGGACGGCGCTCCGGTCAGGAAATTTCTAACTGGGAGATTACTCTACTATATGTATAGTTAAGTACGGTATTATTTGTATTATTACTTTACTATACTACCGTACTCTGTATATATATTTTAGACATGTACAAAACCGGGCCGGCCCGCCCGGCCCGCCCAGCCTAGCCCGCCCGCACAAATAGGCGGGCTTGGGCATACATATTTACCCACCGGGCCCGGCCCGGCCCGCAATAACATATGGGCGGGCATGGGTTAGGGAGTAGGCCCGTTCGGGCCGATAAGCCCGGCCCGCTACATTTAATATATATACTAATTTATTTATTTATTTACATGTACACATGTATATTTATATTTATTAATTTATCTTTATACATATTTATAATTAATTATATTTAAATTTAACATAGTCAACATATGATCAACACCACTGGACCAACTCATTTTCTTAAGTTTTTAGTTCTTAACAACTAGCCCAGCCAAGATAATATCTACTTTTGTACTTAAAGATGATACTTTGTGCTTGAATTTTTAAATTTTAGCTATATTTTCTCATTATATTTTTTGTGCAAGTATCTTTATACATATTTATAGTTAATTATGTTTAAATTTAAGTTTTTAGTTTTTAACAACTAGTCCAACCAATATAATATACGTAGTATGTAGTATATTTTAGTACTTAAAGATAATACTTTGTGCTTCAATTTTAAATTTAAGATATAGTTTCTCATTATATTTTTTTGTGTACGTGGTGACAGGCTTAAAAACATTATAAGCGTATTAGCAATTTTTTAAATGTTGTAATACTATTTATAAAGTATTTAAAAAATTATATAATTTTTAAAAAATTAAAGTTTTCCCGGGCCGGGCGGCCCGGTGGACTACCCGGCCCGCTCTAACGGGCGGGTATGGACATGAGGTTAGGCCCATTTTTGCGGGCCGGGCCGGGCCCGCCCACACATGATGGGCAGAAAATTTATAAAAAGCCCGGCGCGAGCCCGGCCCGAACCCGTTTTTGTACAGGTCTAATATATTTGTAAGTTACTTTCTTCATTTCCTTATAGTTACAATTCTTATTAAGTTGGATTTCTTTTATTATGATATTTTTTGTTAGCAGTCAAAATAACTTTTTAATTACATTTTATACTTAATTTTTGTATTTTTAAGTTCATTATTTTCACTACATGTGTAATATATAATTACTCCATCAATCTCAAATTGAGTTGTAAAATTGACTTTATGAGTCAAACAAATTCATTTTATTCACTTAATTGGTATAATAATTTTTAATTAAATTTTAAATTGGATTTTAAAATTTTATAGAGATTTTAATGTAGTTTCTGAATGTGTAAATTTTAATTATTCTATATTAAAAATGAATTTATTATTAATACGGATAATTAACTTTAACATTGAGACGGATGTAATATAATTTTTTTTAATATAGGGTCTTTTATTTAGTTTTGCACAGGGCCTTTAATATTCTAGATTTCTAGGACCGGCCCTGGTGTATTAGTGTATATAACCCTTTTCCTGTTTTTAAATACCTAGCTACCTACTGGTTTAGGGAATAGGGAGGAGGGTGTTATCAATAAGATGTTGATAGTTTCCCCTAAGTGTCAAATGTTTAAACGTAAAATAACCCTCTTCACCGTGATTCATCATTCATGATATCACTATAAATAGATGAATAAATGAATATAATAATACAATCATACTAATCGTAAGAAAACAAATCACTTAAATCGGAAACATATAGAAGTCAAAATTAAATATCCAACCTAAATAAAGGAATTTGTATCCTAAATCTTCTTAATGAGATAACATATTAAATATGTATAAACAAATAACATACTAAACATATTCAAAAGGGAAAACTGTCAAATAGGTCCTCGAACTTTCATAAAAAAGTCAATTAAGTCCTTCTATAGGAGACTATGTCCGGTCATCGCGATTTGGGGCGGTTCCCGGTGGAATTTTTTGATGAAATATTTAGAGCATCTTATTCATCAAGTCTAGTTTACTCATACCAAATTTTAGCTAAAAATTAAATCGGGAGCGCATTCAAATTAATTCGAGAACGCAAAAATGCGCAGTTATCTTCAAGAATTAATTTGAATGTGTTCCCGATTGAATTTTTAGCTGAAATTTGGTATGCGTAAACTAGACTTGGTGAATAAGATGCTCAAAAATATTCATTAAAAAATTCCACCGGGAACTGCCCCAAATCGCGACGGCAGGACAGAACCTCCTATTGAAGGACTTAATTGACCTTTTTATGAAAATTCGAGGACCTATTTGACAGTTTTCCCTATTCAAAACATTTCTTTTGCCTGCATAAATTTCAGCCAGTTGAGCCTTTCGTCATCATCTTTAAAGTGGATAAAGAATTGTCTTCTACTTGGACTATCGAGAACACAAATGCTATGAAACCATAAGTTCCCACTCCTCACCAGCCCACCATTATCAGCCATTCTGGTCATTATTTCCATGACATGACCTACACTTGCACAATCATCAACAACCTTCTCCTTTTTTGCCAATACACGCTCAATTGCTTGAAGACATGTATTTCCCTTCTCTAAAATTTCACTAAGTTTAACCAACTCCTTAGACTGCCTTAGTTTGCGCTTCTTACTAATGACATTGGTCCCCGCATCTTCAGCAGTCGTAGATGTAGGAATAGAATGACCATTTGCACTAGCCTCATGCACAAAATTTTGAAATAAATTACCCTCATCTAGTTGGGCACTACAACTCTTGTACACCTCATAATCATCGGCATTATCATGGACAGTTTCTTGATGATTTTCTTGATTGTCATTCTCCTCCATTGTAGCACTTGGAGCCACACATTCTACTCCAGTTGCTATTGAGTCTCCAAATATTTGATCCCATTGCTCTTCAATGTTCTTTGGAATTCCTTTATGCTTGAACTTCTTTAGTTCCGTCTTTTCCTACAAAGAAAATTCTTACTTTAAATTTATGACAATAATCCCTGTTCTAAGGTAATGAGCTAAATGATACATATACCTTGATTTTCTTATTCCACCATTCATCAGAACAATCCAGCGTCCCAATGGCTGCATTCCAACTCAATCCGATCTCATCACGTTTCAATAATTTCCACAATCGCCAATCTTTTTTCATAAAGTCAAACTTGTTTTTCAAGCTTTTTGAAGAACACTTTCTTTTTGTTCTCTCCTCAAATAAAGCTTGTATTTGCTTCCACCTAAATTGTTGTCCCCTCCCTCTCATAAGAATGAACTGGATGCATATTTCATTAAAAATTCCAACAGTTTCATTTGACCAAATAAAGTAACTCCCCTGATCTTTCTTAGACGACATCTGAAAGATCCAACCGGCAATATAAATGACAAACTGTAATTACAAAAGTACGAATTGAAACCAATTTATGATATATAAAATACAAGTGCTAAAAAAATCAACCACGTATTTTACTTTTTCTTTCTTAATCGCCACGCAGCACAAATTTACATGTTAATTTAGAGAATGAAAAGGTACTCTGAATAATCCATAGAACATCCTAAACCAGAAAGACGAATATTTTTGGTCAGCTACTCAGCTAGAAACAAGTAGGATGCACAAGAGTTGATAAAAAAGGCCAGAAACTAGCCTTGTTCCAATAAAGACATTATGAAGTATTTCATTAATAGAGATTATAGCACCGTGTGTCATTAAAATATAATATGTTTTAAATGTAAAATACAGAGTATATCATAATCTTTTGCTAGGTACTGCTTATGTTTCATAAGGCCAGAAACTATTAGATGGACAGCTAGCTGTTTGCGGCTGTGACGAGGTCCCACTCCCCTTTTCCCCCATCATTTAAAGCCCCTTTTCCCCCATCATTTAAAGCAAAGCCTAATTCAATGAAGAACTCATGAAGCTTTATAATAACAGCCTTCAACAATAGTCTATTGTAACAGCTATTATATTGTCTTGAAACCCTTCACAATAATTAATTTCTTGTTTCTAGGAGAGGGAAAAACCCACTTTCGTCTAACAAGAATATCATAGCTTTGTAGTTTTTGGGAAGTCATGTCAGAAGATGGTAGAGTTTCTACAGTGTTCAGTGGGAATTGTCCAAGCAAAAGCCCCAACTCTGGCTAAAGACAAGTGGGGTACCCACCTCCATAAAACAGGTGCAAGAGATAATATACTCTTACTTAACCCAAAAAAAAAAAACTCCAAAACAAAAAGCCTGGGCAAGAAAGGCACCAAATAAACACCTTCAGTGTGTTTTCTAAACTATAAGAGATCAGAATTCTCAAACTATACAAAAAATAAAAAAAAATAAAAATTGTTAACCAGTAAACTAACAATGTCAAGTGGATGAGATAAATACCAAACTGGTTACTGGCTAAAAAGCAATCTATTAGGCTATAAATACAAAAAAAAAAACAGAAACAAAAAAGCAATCGGTTAGACGGTTAGACCAAATAATTAATTGTTAATGTAAATCCATATATTAATATTTAATAGCAAATCAATACACATACAACAACATTAGCTCAGTCCCACGAAGGCTCCCACCTACAGTGGGGTAAGGTTGGGTTGGATATATCCACCCTTACTCCTGAACTAAAGCACAGAAAGACCGTTTCCGGATGACCCATGATGAAAAACTCGTTGAAAATTGCATGGACTGACTAATGCTTCGTAACAAAGAAGCGGTCTGAGCCATTTTGCTTTATTCCGTCATATGCCTAAGCCAAAAAAATATTTGAGGCTTTGGCTCCATTGAAAATGATAGAAAGCAATCAACACATATACACAGTTAAAACTTAATTGTGTTTCCTACATTTCAACCCACCTCCAAAAATCAGGTGCAGAAGATAATATACTCTTACTTAACTCAATCAAAAAAACTCAAAACAAAAAACCTGGGCAAAAAAGGCACCAAACATATGAACAGAGATGCAAAAACTAAAAAACATCTCGAGTGTTTTTTCTAAACTATAACAGCTCAAAATTCTCAAACTATACTAAATCTTGCTCATAAAAAACGTCAAACTTTGGGAATTGGTGGAAGAGTTAACACCACAGAGAAAGACCAGCTCTAGATAAATCCACATTTTTTTAAATCCATTCAGTGCCATGAAGAAACAGAGAGGAGAGGTTCGTCATACCGAGCTAAGGAGAGAAATCCGAGGGGAGAATCTATACGCCATAAGATGAACTGTAATTAGAATTCTAATTCCAGAGAAGGATTTTAGCTTGACTCATTGTATAATGGCTAAGGGATAACGTTCAAAACCTTCACTTTCCATCAGAACCATCCATTTTTCTTTATCTTCATCATTATTATTACTAAACTCTTTACTATACGCCTCAGATTATACTAAACGTTTTCGCCCAAAGTTACCACACCCGAATTCAACGATTTCGCGAGCTTCAGTGCGGTCTCGATAATGGTAGCGGTCTCATCTAACAGATTTTATAGCCGAAGCATGAAATTTACCGCTAGTACATCATCTGGGTCAACCCTTAAAAATGACCCGTTTAGTTTATGGATCGGCATCTCCACGGGTTCGAGTAACGGAGTAAGAAAAGTCCTCTGAGGATAAATTAAACGCTTTTGTAAATAAATACCTCAAAAGCAGCTGTGCCTTGATCACCTGCGATCGATCCGGGAAGAAGCAGCGAGAGATCGCGCATGAGATGAATAGGGATCTCTTGGATTGGGAAGTCTTGAAAAACGGGTTGAATCACCTATTCGAGTAACGACATGGGCCGAAGAGATAACTGTTCAAACATCTTTGGTGCGATCCTTTTTTTAGGTTTGGCCAACCCAACTTTAGTCCTTCAAATAAACACAAATGAACAGCACTATTTTCATAAAATTTGACTGAATATAAAAGATTCCATCCCTTTTTAATTGAATGGACGTGCTAAAAATATCTTGTAGTCTGATGGCATCATTGTGATACTTCAATGTTAACCATAACATTGAACAGACAGATACTATAATAGGTTAAGAAGATTGTCAACAAAAAATTTGAATAGATGTGCATATATCTAGTCTAATTATACGATTGTCATAATTATAGTTCTTTTAGATTATATTGCCCCAAAGTTCTAAATAATCCTTGTATCCCTTTTTCAGTATTCCGTTGTATTTCTTTTTAGCTGATACTAGCTTGAAACCATGTGCATCTACAACACCATTAACTAAGATCTATTCTTAAGATTAATGAATTATTGCTGCCATTAACACCATTTAATCAATAAGACAACCAAATACTTTGCCCTGCATTAAAGAGAAAAGGGACAAATAAGGTCACGTACTAACCAAAAAAGGTTAAATAAGGCCTTATTTAACAGGTTTTGTCCGGCCGTCGCCATTTGGGGTGGTTCTCGGAGGAATTTTTGATGAAATTTTTTGAGCATCTTATTCAGTAAGTCTAGTTTACTCATACCAAATTTCAGCTAAAACTTCAATTGGGAAGGCATTCAAATGAATTATTGAAGATAACTGTGCAGTTAAAAACGCAATTATCTTCAAGAAATCATTTGAATGTCTTCCCAATTGAATTGTTAGCTGAAATTTGGTATGAGTAAACTAGACTTAATGAATAAGATGTTCAAAAAATTTCATCAAAAAATTCCACCAAGAACCACTCCAAATGGCGAAGGCCGGACAGAGCCTCATAAATAAGGCCTTATTTGACATTTTTTGTTAGTACGTGACCTTATTTGCCATTTTTCCTGCATTAAATGTTGAAAAAATTACACAAATATAACTACTTTAAACTCCATTAACAAAAATATGACTTTTTGCTCTAACTTAATCACATGATGCCCATACGTGATCCATGCTATAAGTCACTTTCTTGTAACTCCCATGACTTTTGATAATATTCATTTAAAAATCTCTTAAATGTTTACTCACTTGTTGAAGACAAAAGTACATTAAACTCGTAAGAAGTTTTACCGTGAGCGGATTGTATCCATATGCTCTCTTTACTTTATCCCACAGTACCATTGCTAACTGAAATTTTTTACTAAAATTTGTCATTTTGCATTTAGTGAGAAATGCTATCTTTCTCTCATTTGCAAAAAGTTTTGCAACATAATTTGTATGTTTTTCATTTCATCCGAAAGTTAATGATGCAAAATTCATTGAAATAAATAAGGACACCGTGAATAACCAACTCACAGTAATTTCTTTATTTAATCACTTTTATATGCAAGTGCTCTCACTTAGATGTGGCACATTTAGTAAAAGTTTAAATTATGCACAAAATACTTATTTTCTTAAAAACGTTAGAAGAGATTGAAACAAATTAAAGAACCTAATTGAAATTAGACAAAAAGCTTGGAAAGTGACAACCATGGTTATTTTAAAGATGGCATGTAGCCCGCCTGGCTCATATAGTGGTGGACTAGGCCCGAGCGGCCCGTCCCGGGAGTCCGGGACCGATACTGTTTGGTACCGGCCCGGACCCGGTTTTCCAGTACCGGTGCGGGCCCGGCCCAAGGATAAATACAGGCGGTCCTGAGCCAAACGTCTAGTTTTAAAAAAAAGCATGTACCGGCCCGGGACCAGTACTGTTTGGGCCAGACTTGGAAGAGATACCAGGCTTGAATTCTGCAGTACCGAAACCCGCAAAGACTAGGCCCGACTCGGTCCGAGTCTATCCCTAGCTCCATCCAGATGCACGAAAGTGTTTCTTTTTGGGGTAATTTGAGTTTGCACCTCATTTTATAGTCCAAATTGGACTTTGCATTCTGTTTTTGAAAAACATTATGTTTTTTGCACCCCAAACCCGTATGAAAAGACAAAAATGCCCCTTGATTGGGAATATGATGAATGGAGTGCAAAAACAAAGTTTTTAAAAAATGGGATTCAAAGTTAAATTTGGAGTTTTGGACAATAAAATGAGGTGCAAACTCAAATTATCTTTTTCTTTTTTACAAAAACAGGATTGCATTATTGGGTACCTAACGTTAGAGATTTTGAAGAGGGCCAAAAGCTAGAAACATCGTATCAAATGGGCAGTAGCGTCAACATTGATGGGTTCTGGCCATTTATTGAACTGAAAAAACAAAACTTTCATTTCGAAACTTTCAGTGATATCTCTGAACCAAAAGAGATTGAACAAAAACGTATTGGTTGTTTTTTCTTAGTTCCATAGTTAAGAGAGCGGGGCATTACATATTCATCATATTTCACATGATTGCTATTAGCCAGCACATGGTGAAGACAAGAGGAAGTGAGGAACTGGAGGAAGCCTCGACCCCCCCCCCCCCCCCCCAAGAAAAAATTCTAATATATAAACACAAAAAAGATCAGGTCCAGCCCTCCCCGGTCCAGCCGTCGTCCGAACTCCGCCGTTTGGGGCGGTTCCCGGTGGAATTTTTTGATGAAATTTTTTGAGCATGTTCTTCATCAAGTCTAGTTTGTCCATACCAAATTTCAGCTCAAAATTCGATCGGGAAGGTCGTCAAATGATTTTTGCAAGTTAACTGGTCCGGAATATGTATTTTCCGGACCAGTTAACTTGCAAAAATCATTTGACGACCTTCCCGATCGAATTTTGAGCTGAAATTTGGTATGGACAAACTAGACTTGATGAAGAACATGCTCAAAAAATTTCATCAAAAAATTCCACCGGGAACCACCCCAAACGGCGGAGTTCGGACGGCACCTCCCGTCCCTCCGGCTGGACCTGATCACTTCTCTATATAAACATATGAATAAAATTTTCAAACTCCGACCCCTAACTCCACATTTTGGCTCCGATAATGCATACCCTCCAGGCCGCAGCTACTGTTTGACTATACACCATTTACTCCCAACTTGATAACACATGATAAGTATTCTGGCCATAATGGAATGGTTTATCCAATGGGGCAAACAATTTAGCAAAAAAACCAATGGGGCAGCAAGCATTGTCAAGAAGAATGTACAAGTTGCTTCAGCACGGAGCGATCTTGCTCAGATGGCACGTTTCCCTGTAATCCATTTTTCAAATATCATAAGCAAAGGGATCATCACCCCACACATACATTCCGTTGGGGATAACAGGACCCCAAAATCCAAATATAACATAGGAGTATGGGACAAATGCAACATTTAGCACAATGATTATCAACTAACTATCCATGTTCAATGTGAACCAGTCCATGCATTCCAAACGATTAGCAAAACTAGATAAGGTCAATCCATCAAAGTCAACATAGCATAATTTGGAAATTTTGCCTATCAAACGGCACAATTCATGTCTGACACAAGCCGTACAATTTAAGCACAGATGGCTGATGGCCAAGATCTTTTCAAATCATTATATCCAACCCCACACTTCATTGTCCAACCCCACCACCCTCTCCTGAGGACCATCGGCTTGTGTGTCACATGCACCACGACTGCCTTCTAAGACTGGTAAACTGGTAAAGAACTTAGATCTGAATAGACAAGGTTTTCTAGAAAAGAGAGCAAAACACATTCCATAAGCTATAGCTACTATACTTAGAATGTCTATGAGAACAATTCACAGCTAACAAAAAGTAACCAAAACCACATGCAGACAACATATTAAGTGCCAATAGCCAAGCGTGTTTCTACATGTGCGCGCTTGAAACTAATTTATATGGACAGAAACCCATCGGGTGGTTTTCAAACAGTCCATAAGAGAGCCAAGGTCAGTCTGAAATCTTCACTAGGTCTTTTTTTACATCCGCCTCCGCAAACACCTCATGTTATTATGATGGTCGGCAAAAGGATTGGGGGGTGCACCACCACCACCAGCTCCATCGGGTAGTAACAATAAGTCTACCCCAAAGATGCTGCTATTGCTGCTCCTCTTCTTGCTAGACAAGAGACTTGCCTTTTCATCAATTGTTGATACCGCTTCCAACAGCTCCGACAACAGTGATGGGCAGCTCTCTTCCATGTGCTTGAACCCTTCAGACTGCATAACAACTGTTGATTAAGAGAGTTCAACTTTTTAGTGTGTGTATATATAAGCAAATTGTTCAAACACTATCCATGTCAATGCTTTTTGCATGGATAAAACAAATGACATGCAATTAAATTTTCAGTTTTACATTGAGCGGCTCATTAGGAGAGTTGAAAGGAATAATGACGGAACCGAGACTTAAACTTCAAAAGAAAAGAGTGGATTAATTTAAAATCGATTGCTTTGTGGTATGAAATGAAATTATTGGAAACAGAATTCAAATTTTGTACATAATGGTATTGAAAATGAGTAAGTACTATGTGATAGACAAATAAGTGTGGTCAAGGATTTGCAATTCCTAGGAAGGGCCAGGGGGGTACAAAAAATCTATCTCATACTGAGGATTTAAAAACTGGCTGATGAGATTCCACATACTATTTCCCCTCCATTATGTGTGTAACAAATGAGCGGTAAAAGTGTCCTCATAAAAAGTTATCCAGATGGTTCATCAAATATAAAGGTAAATGGGACTTACAAAATGGGATAGAAAGGGCACCATTCAGTCCTTGCCCATATTTTCAGAAAGTTGCAGAAAAATATAAGCGAACAAAAAAAACAATCTTAATCATCATCGGAACCATATAACCATTAACACTGCACATGTCTAATTAGTTCACATACTAATTATATAGTCTATAAGTAGCCATTCATATAACGCATCTTCCATTACATGTACCTCCCAAGTTTGTAGCTGCAAACTTCAAACATATGTCTTTAAGCTGGAGGCATCGGTGCTGATCGGCTAGTGAAAGAGTTGTTGCCACCGTATCTGCATTCACCTCTTCGCATAGTTTTGCCTCACATAATTGTTTCAATCTATCTAAACTAAACCGGTCGGCTGCAGCCAATAAATGTTGCATCATGATTGTTGATGTGCACGTTGATGCAGAACCAATGACATCATGTATATTTGGAAGCTGATCTGAGTAAACAAATTCAAGCATTGCCTACAAATTTGAATAACCCCACCAAAGTCACTGCTCAGTGTGAGAAGTTTTGGATTATTTGCACAGAATATGCACCTATTGATTATAGACATATCTCCCTCTATTTTATCGACACCTTTCTCAGGGAACCCACATATTAAGAAAAACACATTAAAATTTCAAATTAATCACTACATAGATGATAGAACGTATCTCAATTAAAGATGATAAAATTTCCATCATTTTCAATGGAGCCAAAGACTCACTATTTTTTGGCTTGGGAATATGATGGAGTAAAGCAAAATGGCTCACCAAACTGTCTCCGCTTCTTTGTTATGAAGTAACAGTCAGTCTATGCAATTTTCAACGCGTTTTTCACTACGGGTCATTCGGAAACAGTCTCTTTGTGCTTTAGTATAGGGGTAAGATTGCGTACATCCGACCCCCCTACCCCACCGTAGGTGGGAGACTTTGCGGCACTGGGGTAATGATGATGATGGATCCTTATTTATGAACTCACCATACATTTAAGCTCTTGTCATGCTTTCCATTGTGCTTCATATTTCATTAAAGGGTAGGGATAAGGAGAAAGTATGTAATGTTGCATGAATTAACTTAACAGGCAGAGAGGAATGCCAAAACTCAATATAAATAGGAATGGAAGAAATTATAAACTAGTAAACGTTAGAGTATAGGCAAAAACTTAAAGCTTAACTGTGTGGACAGTGAAATATAGCTATTGAGTAAATAACTTAAGAAATAAAATGTTTCAGAATAAAATTGGGGCATGAGGAAATGACATGATAATAAGAAATGTAATGTGGTTGTTATTGGACTTGCAAAGTATGAATAAAAATATGAATGAATCGGAATCACACAAATATTACCACATACGTTATGGGGCATAGGGGCACACTTAGTGACTTACTGAGACAGACAAAATAAAAGATGGGACAAAGATAGTGCGATGGAGGGAGGAATAATTACCTTAAATATTGATGGTTCTATATCCTCAAGTTCTACTTTCTCTGTATTAGGATTCCCAATAAGGCCAAAAAACTGGGCTTTGAACACAGGAGAACGAGCAGCAAGGATTAGTTTGTGAGCCTTAAATGACTCCTCCCCAACCTGGAAAACTATATCACATCCAATTTCAGAATCTAGCAAGTATTTGAGACTCTGGCCCATGTCTGAGGCGGGAACAGAAATGCTAAATTGTTTAGGCCCTTCAACACGAGTCCTGACAACTCCTACGGTACAATGCATCGAAAGGCAATCATCCTTTAGATAGTCAGAAGTTTCTAAACTTGCCCGCTTGAAAAATCTTTTGTATCCCCTACAATTCAAGGAAGAAGAAAAGTCAGTCATTTCTCTACAATGTTTTTCTTTTGAAAAAAAAAATGCCATACTCTCGGTGAAGAAAGTCAATTCTTTGTTTTGTAGAGGTTTTTCAATCTTTTTTTTATGCATAGAAGCCAAACCATGTGCCATGTAAGCAGGTAGAAAGTAAGATAAAACTACAAATGCCAGAATAGTCACGATATATTAATATACAAGATCTGGGCCTACAGTGGCAGGCAATTTAATTGTATGCACCTACTGCATAAAAAGCAAGAAAAGAAAAATATAGTTCCCTAATCTTAGACTGCATGCTTTCATTTGTTAATGTATCCTGCTTCTGATAGAACACTGTGCAACTAATGAAAATATGAAACTCTAGTAATTATATGATCAAGTGCAAACACTAGTTCACTTCCTAGTTTTAAGAAATTGATTTCCAGTAAACTGATAATGTGAGGCCATTTTGTCTGCAAACTTTGTGCTACTCAGAATAAGAATATGTCTAACTACAGTCCATGGCATCCTGCATCCTTGGCTCCCAAAGGGTTATGGTATCATATCAAGGTCTTCTCTGATATTGAAAACAGCTCGATCCCCAACTGCATTTTTTTCTTTTACACTATTAAAACTCAAAAACTTCTTGTATTCTATACAAGCTTGAATCTTTATGCACAGTTGCATATCATCATATACTGAACCAAATCAAATCCAGATGACCTCCATTCCGCTCTACAGAGAAAACATATGCACACTGCTTCTCTTAATCGATCCATATGCATCAAGGAATAATGTCCTACTGAACAAGAGACATAAGTAGTAAGTACACAACAGAGCTACACAACAAAGGCCCTGAATATACAGATCGGGACACCCTAAACTACATAGTTACAACATAGCTTGTGATTCTATATACGCAGAGATAGGTTCCATTTTATTTGTCTGTCCTGTTCTTTTTTTAAAAGAAGTCTGGGATCGTGTATCCTAGATAAATTGCTGAAATTGGAGTTATGATGTATGGTTAGTGGTAGAAGGAACATAAATTCAATGCGGAACAAAGTTGACAAATGGCAACGCACAAGCCTGATACTGGCACAATTACACAAGCTGAAACAGTAAGACACTGAGACTTCATTGTTGGTTACTGCTACGGCTCATGGATAGAGATGGCAACATGTAGAATACCTTACCCATTTAGTATTTCCCATCTCAAAGCCAGTTCAAATCCTGTCGAAAACAGGTTTTAAAATTTTTATCCCAACCCCATCCTGGCCCATTTCTGAAATACCTGGAACCACCTAAACTCATCCTGTTAATTGTTCTTATCTTTTCTATTTACCATAAACCTTTTTAAAGTCATATTAATTCTGTTATGGACATGGTTAAAATATGAAGGTGAAGAAGATTGGTTGGGATATGGTGTTTCTGCCGCATCAATCGACTTCCCCACATTTAATAAGAGGTAGGAGACGCCTAACCTAGTCAGGGCTCCAAACAAACTATTCTCCAAGATTATTTATTAATCAATACTGTGAACCCTTATATAACTAGTTAACTACTACATGAGTCCTAACGTAAGAGAAAACATAAAGCAAAAGGCTAACAAGAAGCTGGCTAAAACTAAATAAAGAAATAACACTAACAACAGCACCAAGTAAACATAAACAACAACAGTAATAATGGGGAACTAATACTCATACTAATCCAAAGAAACTAATAATAATAACAACATAATACTTGTAGTGCACCTTCTGGAATTAGTTTACTATATCATTTTAAGATTTACTAGTTTAGTATATTATAATTATATTGTTATAACTTACAAATGGGGATTATTAGTTTGATCTATAACTAATCCGGATTGAGGATCCAGGTAGTGAGTACCCACCATGCTAATCCTGAACCCATCCAAACCCTATTGAGAATTAAAATATTTCATATAACCATCCCAAATCCCCTCATGATGATAGAACATAAGCTGTTTCAGATGATCTAAAGTAACTCTCCTACATGCCCTCAAAAAAACTGAAAATTCATGAGGATGTTACTGTTTTTAACACAAGAATTTCTTGAACCATTCTTATCTATATGCATCCAAGATCTTCTAAAAATGCAAAGGATGTCTAATGATAGGATAGAACCTTAGCTCAAAAAGTCAAAAAAATAATCATTCTTGAATCAGATAATGGAAAAAAAATGCACTATAGAATGTTTTGGTGCTTCCAAAAGGCATGAAGATTTTGCTGTTTATGAACACTCTAGAACAGGTAGATTGTTTAAATATTTGATTCAACTATGCAGTCAATAGTTTTGACAGTTGTGTCCAATAATTATGCATGCAAATGTATTATTTGAATTTATAGACAGTCACAGAGAAAAACATAAGTATTTCCTCAGATGAAATTTGCTTGAGCCAGCTTAAGTATGTCATATAGTTGGTCAATGAAGCTGGAAGCATAGTTGCAATAACAAAAAAACTCATATTGAGCTTAAACTCCATTTAAGATTTTTTGTGGGTCACGAGCACACAGATTTCCTGTACTTTAAAAAGTAATCCAGATTCATATTTTGCTCCTGGATTGATCTACCAAACAACCACACCAACTACTCTTTTCTGGATCATCCATCATCATCATTACCCAGTGCCACAAAGGCTTCCCACCTATGGTGGGGTAAGGGGGGTTGGATGTACGCAACTTACCCATGTACTAAAGCTAGAGACTGTTTCCGGATCTTTTGATTCCGGATCTTTTCTGGATCATCCATCATCCAAAAATAATCCACCTCATCTACTTCATCCCCAAATAATCCCATGAAAGGGGGAGCCCTAAGCAATCATCAATTACACATTACATATAAAAAACAAGCGGAAGTGGGAAAGACAATGTTGTGAGCTAGGCATACGTGCACTAAACAGAATAACAGACAAAAGGAACCACTAGGAATTTTGAAAAAACGGCTTGATCTCAGAAATTATGTCCTAAATTGACCTAATATGAATCCAGATGCCATTTATACACCAAATACCTTGAAAATTGTGATAGACCTTAGACGTAATGCTGTGAAACTAAAAGTTTAAAACCGGAAGGATGAAATGAAACCTGTATGAAGATAATCACATATTATCCGTAGACGAAATAACGATACATAGCGCAGACGTACATACATACCACATGCTCCCTTTGTATTTCAAAGTATACGGCCCGCTCTCTAGGGCCCGATCAAAATGGGAATGAACTTTGTGCTTCCCTTTCCCGCTCTGGTCCATCAGCGTGAGCTCAAACAATGCCCTGACGTCGGTGCCGTCGCTGGCAAGCGCGATGAAGACAGAGACGTAGGCGGAAGAATCCTCGGCGTTCTTGCCGTCGGGGTAAAAGTAGATGGCCCAATCGTAGCCGCCAACGGAGAAGGTGTCGCTGGAGATGTACTTGCCGAGACCCATGCCCTTGGCCAGAGAGTAACCCCGGACGGTGAACTTGTGGGACCCATTCACCGTCTCGTTGATCGACCTCGAGCAGGAGTCCGGGCAATTCACGGCCATCTCATCGGCCGGAAACCCAGACAGGATAAAAGCTGCTGGAGATGGGATTCAGATATTCCGAAAAAACAAGCAGAACTTGTAAGAAAATGGAAAAATCGGGCTGAAATGGAATGGAAGGAGAGAAGAGGCAGATGGGTTGGTGGTCACGGAGGAAACGGTGAGCAGTGGTTATTGGATGTCATTAATCTCAGTTTTTTATCGAGGAAAATATCGCACGAGAATTTCATTTCAGTGTGCACACTATTTGCGAAAACACATCATTTTGCACCTCGGCCCAATTTTACAAAAGGTACACAATTTTTTTGTGTGTTAATTACTAAAGAGAAAAAAAAAATCTACACATACATGTGTGAAAGTGTGTATGTCAAAAATTGTGTATCCCAAATACAATCATTTTGCAAACATCATTTTTATGATTTTTCATTTTGTAATTCTGAAGTACGAATTATCTTTAGGAGAATAAAAAGTATATTTTTCATTTTTTAACTATAACAATCAAACTTTCATGTTTACAAACACATAACCTTGACATTCTAGCAAATCTAGCACTATACCTAAGGTTAAGCCTTCATCTTTCTCGTTGTTTTTCCTTTATTTTTTTATTTCTTTTTACTTTTTTTTCTTTTTGACTTGTATTTTTCTTGTTCTCATATCTATAATAAAATATTTTCTTTTACCATTTATATATTGCATGAGAATAGGTGCAATCTTTCGCACTTTACACGTGAATATCACTTTTTATTGAAACTACATTATATATGTGTATGTGTGTGTCTGATCAGGTACAAAAAATGTGTTTATTCCGCAAATGTTTGGACAATGCATATTTACGTTATTTATATTGCGTTTTAAAGTTCAATATGTTGCATATTATTCAGCCATAAAATAGCAGATGCATATTAAAGTCATTGTTTTAAAACTCGTTATACTCCATATATACGGCTATACGCACATATATACATACATATAGACATGTCCCTTGTTCCGAATCGAACCGGAATCGGAACCGAACCAGCGGTTCACGATTTATCAAATGCTCAAACCTGAACCGGAACATTGAAGGGCCGGTTCAAGGCGGTTCCGAACCGCCGGTTCCGGTCCGGTTCGGCGGTTTTTTATAATTTTTATTTATTTATTTAGGGAGATATTACCCGAAATAGGACTAAAAAGATTTGAAATTTTCAAAATAGGACTGTCATGTTTTTATTCCCAAAATAAGACTAATTATTGTCATGTTTTGCCAGTACCAGACTTCAAATATGGCAGTATTTTCCAATCTTGACACTAATTACTCCTATTTTGGGAATAAAAAACATGACAGTTCTATTTTGGAATTTTCAAAATGTTTTAGTCCTATTTCGGGAACTTTCCCTTATTTAGGATATTTATATGTATTTAATTAAAACATTAGGATATAAGAACAATACTTTGTGAATCAAAGACATATATTGTGATATACGAGTAAAAAACATTAAAGATGTCATACAAATCTTTGTAACTTATTTATTTTTAACAAATTTGAGCTTTGTGAATCAAATTAAAACATTATATTTATTTGGGAAATTATCATTGACCTCCCTTGAGGTTTGATGTATTATCAATCACACCCCTATACTATCAAAAATATACTCTTACCCCCTCTCTATCCTTTAATGATGGTTAAATAACTTCTAATCTATATTTAGAGAAAACTGTAGGTATAATTTCATAATTTTTCGTTATGTCCGCTTTTAATACTATAATTTTATTCAATCACAAATCTGATCGGGTAATTAATAAATTTATCCATATTAAAAACCTTTTTATCGGAAGTTGAACAAAATAAAAAAAAAATGACTAAAACTGACATCACTCTAGGTAGTTCATTTATGCCTTTGAATTTGTAAAGTGGCTAACTTTACTCAATTGAAAATGATCAAAATATGCTAAATTTGTCAAAAGTCGAAAGAAATCAACTTAAATGAACCAAATTGACTCAAATGTGATATTTACTACTCAATTAAAAATTGAATGCAAGAAATTCCCAATATGCACTCTAGACACTTTGTTATCTCTGAAAGTGAGATCATTATAGGTATAGTAATAACTTGTAAATTAATATTTGACAAATAGATGATCGTGTTTACATGTAAATTATTGGTAAAGAAATTATAGTTTATGATGGGTTCCACACCCAAACTGATTAGTGCTAAATAATTAGGGCGGCCCATGACCTTATCTTCGGTTCCAATCTCCTAATTGATTTAGGTTCGCTTCTAATTAATAATTTAAATGTTTTTAACTACCTATTTTTTAACATTTAAATGGACTATAACTCATTTTAAAATGTTCTCAATGGTTTTAATGAAAAATGAACGGAGTTAAAACATGGGCGCCAATCCCGGTCCCAAAAAGTGAGGCCTGAGGCCTCTTTTTCACCGGTCTGGTCTCGGTCCCAACCTAAAATCTTAATTCAAAAATCGGTCATTATATTCCCGTGTATTTTCCTCGTTAGAAAAGTTTCATCAAGATTTCTACAATCTGAGATATATTTCCGAACTTTTAAAAGTAACAGAGATTTATTGTTTTAAACCGTACCTTTCGATTGTGTCTATTACTATTCCTATAATTTTTCTCACATGTCGATGTAGTTATGTACCTAATAAATTAGTCAATAATAAGGATTGTTTCATCAGAAAGCACGTGTGCTTGCAAAAAAAGTATGGTGGAAAGGTTCTTAATACTTATAAATTTATTAATTATCATATTAAATTTGCAAGTGAGAAAATTTATAAAACTAAATTTATACTTTTGCTAAACGTAAGTAAGAGTTACTAAACTTTCATTAAAGGTTAAAGAGGGGGGCAAGTGTATATTTTTAATAGTGTAGGGGTCTAGGTGATAATACGCGAAACCTCGAGGGAGGTCAATGATAATTTCCCTATTTATTTAGGATATTGATATGTATTTAATTAAAACATTAAGATATAAGAACAATACTTTGTGAATCAAAGGCATACATTGTGATATAAAAAACATTAAAGATGTCATACAAATCTTTGTAACTTATTTATTTTTAATAAATCAAATTAAAACATTATATTAATTTGGGATATTCAAATGTATTTAATTAAAACATTAAGCTCTTCAAACAAACAAAAAAATTAAAACATTAAGATGTAAGAAAATACTTTGTGAATCAAAGACATGCATTGTAATATAAAAAACATTAAAGATGTCATACAAATCTTTGTAACTTATTTTTAATAACTTATAGAAATCAACTCTTAAAAAAATCAAAAATTCTGGTTCCGAATCAGGACCGAAGGTTCTCAAAAACCGAACCACCTCCCTTAACCACATGTTCAGAACCTTGGCCACATACCGGTTCCAGTTTCGGTTCCGGTTAAACAGGAAACCGAGAACAGGTCTGCGTACATATATGCATACATATATACATACATACACGTGTGTGTGGTGGTGATGAATATAACCAAACATTTCAGCCCAACTAGTTGTGAAATTACCGTGTCTAGTGGGAGGTCTCGAGTTTAATTTCGTTAGGCACATAAGGGTTCAAAACTCAATGGAGTGAATTTCAGCCATGTTTATTCCAGGTCCCTCAGACCCCTGGAGTAAAAAAAATGTGGTGATGAATCTTCATGTCAGCCGACCTGATCGGGGCAGCCATCAGGCCGAGCCATCTATATGGTTGAGTAACTTGAGTTATTATAAGAACACATCTCACAAATTCACAATGGTGACAACTAGGGGTGGGATTTTGGAACCGGGAACCGTAGAACCGATTGGAACCGAACCGTTAACAACATCTAGGAACCGAACCGTTAACAATTAATGCCTCATTTGTAGGAACCGAACCGAAGCGGGTTATAACGGTTCGGTTCCCGGTTCCTATAAAAAATATGTGCATGGAACCGTTAAGGAACCGTTATTAAAAAAATAAAAAATAAAATAATATTAGTAGTAGTAGTAACAATAATAATAATAATAATATAATAGCAATAATAACCACCACCACAACAACAATAATAAAACAATATAAGATATTTAACTAACAATTCTAATTTAATCAACGGAAAAGAAGTAATAAATATTGTACATGAGGTTGATATATACATTAAACTCCTTTCTACAAATCAATTTTTGTTCCATCACATAAATTTTATAAATATAAAATAACCCAAATAACTTGTAGTTGATTGCACATATTATACTTTACTATTTTTATAATATTTCTAATTATTAGATTTATTATGAATCAATAGAATGTGATAATATTTTTTATATCTATACATGCAAACTCAATGTCTTTTTTTTAATGTTTTGAAAGACTTGAAGTAGGTGTCCTATTCTTGCTCCTATGATGACGAGTAACCTTCATCGCTCCGACACTACAACGATTTTTAATGTTTCATTTATTACATGAAAATTTAAATCACTTTTGTTCTATTAAGTGTTCAAAGTTCATTAGTTAAGTTTGAGCTTTAACATTTGAAGTGATTAGAGCTTCAAATAAAATTTTAATACTCGTGTTTTGAATTTTCGACGTGTTTAAAATTTTGTGTTAATTCTTAGACGAGAAAAAATTATTCTAGGAACCGGTAAAAGGAAGAACCGAACCGTTTACTACCGGTTCGGTTCCATAACGGTTCCTGATTTTTTATATAGGAACCGAACCGATTTCATTAGTTAAAACTTTTATAACGGTTCCACTCATTTTGAGTAAGAACCGAACCGGTCCCAGCCCTAGTGACAACTGACAAGCCGCTGGCGCCAAAATAGGATAATGTGAAATTGTGAATCTTTTACGGAGTAAAAACTAAGAAGAGTCGAAGAGAAGCAGATCCCTTGACAAAAATCAGACCCTAGAACCCATTGAATTAAAAATCAAAAATCAATTTGAGAAAAAGGCTCAATGTTTGGCCCCTTGCAAAGGAATATTGAGATGAAATTCTAAAACCACCAATGGTCACACCAAATGTTGTTTCTAATTGCATCATTGCATGGAACATATAATGAGACAACATATTGAAGAAATGGTGCTGATTGACATGCTTATTACAAGATTGACAGTGCAAAACAGAAAATCTTGAAATATCACTACTACTACTTGTTAACATAAAAAACAAAACATAGACAGCAATATAGCATCAAACATGATTTTTTGCAAAGCAAAGCAGGAGATTCCTGGGCAGAGAACCTCCAAGGCCATGGGAATTATTCACCACTCTTTTTGCCATTTTTAGGCCTCCAGATTGGCTGTATCTTAGCAGGAGACTCATGTGCATGTCTATTACTTGCAGGCTGTGATAGTAAAGAAGAATCCTGATTACGTCCATCAACTGCTGTATTTGGCTGCTTCCCCTCATTGATCATCATTTTTTGAAATTGATGAGGTAATGATAGCTTTATGGTTTTCCCATTGTGATGCATCCCCACAATGCTATTTCCTTTCCCACTATTGTTTCCCTGTTCTGTAGCAGGAGGCCTTGCAATAAAATTTGTTTTTTGTGGCCTAGTCAAAGTAGACATTACCTGATTCGGGCAACAGTGCTGTTCTCTAGTACTAATTCTAGTAGGACCTCCCGTTGCAACATTTGGGATATGAGGCCTAGTGAGGATAGGCATGGGTAATTTCGGACGACGGACAGTTGTTTGTTGTTCTCCAATAAAATTTCTGGTGTGATGATTGATGTGGATCCTAGCAGGTGGTGCTCTCTCCACATAATTTGGCAATTGTGGCCTAGTAAGACTAGACATGACCACATGCGGATTTTGGTCAGGAGATGTTAACAAATTAAAGGTTGCCTGGAATGATTCAGTTATGTTTTCCAGTTGGGTGCTGCTGACACTTCTTGCTGTGTTAGCAGGTTGTTCAAAGGGGTCTTCAATCTGGGAAGAACAAGAGGCAGTAAGTGTGTGTTGATCATGAAAAGAATTGTTAGCATTTAGCTAAGCTATTCACTGCCTCGGTTCCAAAAGAGAAGTCTTGTTTCATTGAAACTTTGGTAGCAATTGCTACAAAGCGTTAATCCAACTTTTAATAGTATTTGATAGTGAACTGCATTTATTATTTCTAAGGGACTATTTTTGGAGATTATTATTAACCTAAATAAGAGAAAATCATAGGTGTTTTACCAAAATAGGAGTGCAATGTTTCAATTCCCAAAATAGAAGGAAAGTATGTCTGGATGGACCAAAATACCATTACTAATACAACGTATAATTTAAATTTTCAATACACAACAATCAACTACCGCTGGACTGCCGCCTGACTCCGGCAAAATACTGCCAATTTGTCATCTTAGAATAGCACTACCATTCAGGGTAGGTCCTGGGCATGGGTGGGATGGGGGTTATCCCATGGCCCACAAGCAAGTATAGAGGGGGCCATAAATTGCATGTTTATGTGATTTTATAATGGAAATTTATATGACAATTGACTTAAAAAGGAAAATTATGTGGACTTTTCAGTCAATGGCAGCAGCGGAGAGAGGAAGATATGGGAGAAGAAGAGAGGGACGAACTGGAAAAGGGGAGTAATGGAATAGGCACATTTGGAAATTTAAAACAGGTAGTATTATTCTTTATTTATGCTACTCTCTGTATGTTCTACTCCTATTTGGGGTCATTTATTCTCTTCTTTCGCAGGATACATACCCCCTATGTCCTGCCCCTCCAATAAAGTCATTTTCAAAAGCTCTTTTGTCCAAAAAAAAGTTATAGTTCATCAAATGAAACTGATTCCCATGTAAGCTTCCAATTCTGTCACCAAAATGACAATGAAATAAATTTTAATAAATCTAGTTAAACTACCAAGAATTTTTAAAAAATATGCATATGATTTTATGATTTATAACCTTGGTTTTAAAAGGCATGAGGCGGCTTGAGGCGATTTCATCGAGTTACTCGAGGAGCGAGGTGCTAGGCGATGAGGCACTCGCCTCACGGATCTCAATCACATTTCTTTGGTGAAATATTTTTTTAGTACTTCTACATGAAGTATTCTTCTCAAAAATACTTCAAACTATTAAACAATCTTAATAAACATCATAAGAGAAACAAATATTTATTAAAGACGATCAGACAGAAGCAAGATATATATTTAAAGGCATAATTGCCAAAAGTCAAGTCACAAAACTCAATCTTAAAACTTCACATTATATAGTTTAAAGGCATAATTGCCAAAAGTCAAGTCACATTATCGTTCTAACACTACAATAGTACAATATATACTACGTATTATATAGTTAATATTACCATTGGCCTGTAATATGTAATAAACTAATAAACTATAAAATAATACATATTTATTAATAAACTATCACACGAATTCAATTCTGTAAAATCAATTACAGACAGATTTGTAAATTTAAATAATTTAAATAATTTTATAATATTGTGATAAACTATAAAATAATACATATTTGATTTTTTTATGGTATAATACATATTTGACTAATAAACTATCACACAAATACACTTCTGTAAACTAATTACAGACAGATTTGTAAATTTAAATAACTTAAATAATTTTATAAATTTAAAAACTTAAATACTTAAAAAACTTAAACTTAAAAGACTTAACTTTTTTTCAGTTATCTATCAAGCATCAAAACTTATAAATAACAAAAGATAATATGTATCAGTTATCAAACTTTTTATTTAAATAATTTTACTGTAAAATAATCACAGACAGATGTGTAAATTTAAATAATATAAATAATTTTATAAGTTTAAAAACTTACATCTTCCAAAAAAAAAGTTTAAAAACTTACAATACTTAAAATACTTAAAAACGTAAGACACATAACTTTCGAAAGATAATATGTACATAGTATCAGTTATCTAACTTTTTATTTAAATAATTTTGATATGTTTATAAATATAACAACTTAAAATAAAAGAGAAGAAATAGCATAAGACAGAAAAAAAGTAAATACGCTAACCTCTGCAACGCGAGATAGCGGCTAAAGAAAAATCGGAAACACAAACAGCTATGCAAGAGATAGAGCGGACTAACCAAACGGCAAACGCAGAAGGCAAAAGGGAAGGAGAAGACTAGAAATAGCATCTGAATCGCCAAAAAAACTGGAATGGGAATCGCCAAACTTATTCAAATCAGACACTTCCTTGATGCGCTCACCTCACAGAAGCGCAATAGGCGCCAAAAGTGTGAAAAGCGCTCGCCTCTCGAACCTGAGCCGCCTGGGTATGTAAAAAGCGATTACCCTAGCGCCTGTAAGCGCCTAGCGCCTTTGCGCGCCTCAGGCGCACTTTTTTAAACTAAGTTTATAACTATTGCACCTCGTCAAAATTAAAATGTTGGAATATGGCCAAACAAGAAGCTTTTGGGGAGGACGGAGACCTTTTAAAAAGCTTTCCAGAGTCAGACTGAACGTGTGTGGACACAAACAGAGAGAGAGAGAGAGAGAGAGAGAGAGAGAGAGAGAGAGAGAGAGAGAGAGAGAGAGAGAGAGAGAGAGAGAGAGAGAGAGAGAGATTACGAATAGTGCATATGTTTTTGGTAACCAACTCATGTTCCCTTGAATGTCTTCCCATTGTCCAGTGTATGTGCTAATCCCTTGATCAGAAGCTTTGCACCCAATGTCACAAAACTATAGACAGATTCTAAGAAATCAATACATGATGACAGTTTGAGGTCATTTATGGATTTGTGGGTTAACAAATTCTTACCTTCGCGAGGAATGAAATGAAGAGATCAGATAGAGAACTGCGATTACGGGGTCGGAACCGATTAGATTTAAATTGGTTTATGTTGTTGCCACATGTGTCTTCAATATGCTTCTCTGCAGTAACCCTCACGCCTACAAAAGTATGATCGTACCAAAAGAGATGGACATAGTAATTTTGATGAAATGCTTCTTAAACATATAAGTATATCCAGATGCAACAATTTTGAATTACCTATGACCTAAATTATGAATTAACTTTCTGAAGATGCAGCAGAAACTTAAAGAGGCCAAAATATGAAAAGGGATGATGAGTACCTGAAAGATCATCCACCATATTTCCTGGATATATTTCTTTCAGCGGAGGTAAAATAGCAGGTTCACAAGTCTGCATAAAATGAAGGAAAACCAGCACTAAACTGAGAAAAATTAAAGCCATTAACAAAGGACACTTAAGTCCACCTTTTTACTATCTATCTCATCATTTTTAATCAGGTTGCCTATATGTGTGTGTGTGTGTGCCCTCTCCAATGACTTAATATTATCACATACATTCAAACTAATAAAGATACTTCCAGGAAAGCTCATGTTCTTGCTTGCTTCTTATTCTTAGCACTTAGAATCTCTCATTTTCTCAATTATCTAGCTACTATACTGCAAAGGTAATGGATGTGCATAAAATTTTCCAGCACTACAGGTCCTAAATTTGGTTTCTTTTTATGATGTGTGTGTTATCACAAGAGTGGATAGCAAGTGCATGTAGCCTAGGAAAGGGAACCAAAACTTTTTTATGGGCATGACTTCATGTCTTCATGAAGAACAGACCTGAAAGTGAAAGATAACTAGCATGCTGAGCGAATATGAATTCATCGATCCATTTCTTGAATCATTAATTTTATGTGCCTTCGCCCATTCCTTGACCTGCAGAAACGACATCAGGTTGTTAGAATTTTGTCACATGACTCACCTATCAACAAAAACCTTCTCTACATGTTCCACAAGCACGTACCAGTAAAACCATGGGACGGAATCGTTCATCAATTGTACTGATCCAGTAGAGCAGTTTGGACTTCATTTGGCCACACAAATTGTTTATTGATATGTCGCAGGAGATGTTATACCTTGCCTCAAACTTCAAAATAGGGACTCTTGCACCAGTAATTAACCTTAATTTCCGATACCCTCCTGTAAAGCAAATCCATGTAAAGGACTAGACCACAAAAAAGCTTTTGTATTTTGAAGTGTTGGGCCTCAGAAAAATATAACGATAAATATATTTTTGTCCCCAGCAAATATAGTGCCTTTTGTTTAAAGTCCATAAAAAACTATTTTCCGCTTTTCATCTCTTCAATTTATGTTTTTTCTCTTAAGTCCCTCTTTGACTCTCTGACAACCTACTTTAAAACAAAAAAAAAAAAAAAAAAATGGCTAACAGGATTTCAGTTCTGCTTTCTCACGTCATTTCATTTTTAAGATCTCTGTATTTTACTTTTGAGATATAATAAGCTGATGATGAAATTTTAGCGTGGCTCTGCAAGCCAAATTGTTTCTTTTCAAAACGGAGATTGTAGCGGAGGGACTAAAATATGACATATGGGACTAAAAAATGACATAAGGGACAAAAAAATAAAAATAAAATTATATAAGAACCTTAAACAAAAACATTATATTTACATGGAGGAAAAAAATATGTAAGCCTAGTATCAATTAATAACATATTAACACCGCATAAAAACATATATAAACCTAATATCAACTGATAACACCACATATAGTTGATATGTTGATGTCGTCAAAGAGGAAATATTGAGGGTTATACCTCTACACCTCATTGCTTTTAAAACATCTTCCAGTAAACTTTGCTTTTGCTTCTTCCCGGCAGATGAGATATAGGAACCATTAGCCAACTCTATAGATAAATCGAGATCCCCCCACCTTGTAAAGAGATCAGATACAAATGACCCAAATGGTTCCACTGTCGCACCTGCTTTAATAGAATATATGCGAAAGCAGGTAATTGCAAAGAAGCAAAAGTAAATTAAGAACTATAGAATGTGATGCCAAATGAAAAATAGTTTCCTGCAATATTAGAATCACATAGACAATTAACCACAATGTATCAGAGTATCAGACAAAATAACTTAGCTACTGAAATGAATATCAATAATAACAAAAGAATATGCAGTAAATGATTGTATGCTCTAGGTAAGCATTTAAAGCTGGATGAATTCCCTAGTAATAAGCTTGTAGGCCACATTCTTATATCTAATAAGCTTGTCAAAAGTAAAACACTTTAATATGTTAGAATTGACAACCCATACAAAGAGAAATATCACATACATAATGTTAGCCATACATGTTGTGGGAGTTTGGAATGTTAAGAATGTTCACTCATCCTAGTTAGTATTGAGTTATCTAGACGACATGTCGCGGTATGCAATAGAAATCAACCCTACCAATGAAAATCATTAAATGAATCTGAAATGGGTCTGAATGAATCAAAGTCGTATGATCGTATTGCAGAGTACTGCAACATATCTCAAGAATTGAAATCCCGAGATTGAAGCGCACAATTCAATCTGGGGATTCTGGGCGTAGGTTAAATTTAAATCCGGGTTTGGCTTGAGCAGCCATTTCTCAAAAATTACTTCAAGGGTTGCTTTGCTCTGCATTAATCTCAATAAATGGGAGGGAAACTTCTGGTTGTCTAAAATGGCAGAAGATGGAGTCCAAAATACATAGTTTTGAGCTCTTGAATCAAACTAAACTTAAATGCAGGGATAACTGAAAATGTATAAGAAGAAGAGGTTTAAGTTGGGTACTGGGCATCTTAGATTATATTATCTAGGGAATTACCAGATTCAAACATGTATAATACTTTTGTTGTTTTAAACTTTGATGCATGGGTTGGATTGTCAAAATCATATACTCCGTATGAATTATGAAGTTCTTTTTCCTTATGCCACATATGTTTACTATAATATACCCTGTATTGTATACTCCTCCATCCCTAAATAAACTCCCCACTTTCCTTTTATGGATGTTCCCTAAATAAAGTCCCCTTTCCCGATTTGGTAAACAAATTCATATCAATTTACTCTACTACTCTTAAATAATAATGACAGCACAATGCAAAACAGTGTTAAACAATGTCAAAACAGTGTACTTTACACTAAACTTTACCCCTCCGTAAAAGGGGCATTTCAGGAACTTAAAGGAGAAAATCATTTCTTTAATATGAGTGCAATTCAAAGTGGGATCTTATATAGGGACGGAGGGAGTATTTGTTATCTATCAAAGTATCTTACGATTCACAACACGATAAGACTTATGATTCACAAAATGGATCTTATGACTTGAATCTCTTGATATCCTTGAGTTCATGGGTTGCATTTTGCCAATTTACAATGAAATGTAGCAATTTGACAACTGATATTGTAGATGAAGTATGCCCATTGCCCACTCCACCAATTTATCTAACATTTGACATTTCAATGGTAAAAAAAATTATACAATTTGCAAAACAATAGAATCAGAATTTTAATGTGAATGACATAAATGAATAAAAAAGTAAGCATTCTTTAACCACCTCTCAAACTTTCTATAGGTTGCACAACAGCTCGGAGTTCTTCAATTATTTGAAACCTAAAGGACCAATCATCTTTTGAAGGATTGATCTGGCTGAGAATGTAACAAAGTGTATGCTCCAGTGGGCTATCGCTATCCATTCTGAGCATCAGTTGCTCCTTCTAGCAAAAAGATGACCTGTCAAATTGCAACTAGAAAACAAATTACCTGCGTAAAGAGGTAAGACTGATCACAATACCGCAACTTAGGACTGGAAGGAAAGGAAAAGCATGCAAAGAAATCAGCCATGTTTAAAAGTTAAATATAACTCCAACAAGATAATGATTGTTCCATAAAGTAAATTGACACAAAAAAGATTATTCAAGGCAATAGCAGCATTAATCATTATACAACTAGTTTATTGAAAACATGTAAGAAACACGAAGCATCCAAACTCATAATAAAAGGCCTTAACATATACTCCCTCCATCCCGTTGGGAGGTTCCCACGGGTAAATGGCACTTTTTTAGGCAAGTGATTAAATAAAGTAATTTGGCTATAAAAAAAGGAAAGAGAAAATTTAGAAAGTAAACATATAAAGTGAAAGTAATTAAAGGGAGATAAGTTGGGGGGAGGGGACATTGAGTAGGAAAGGGAAATTTGAGTAAAGGCGTAACTCATCATCATTACCCTAGTGCCGCAAAAGCTCCCACCTAAGGTGGTCGTAAGGGGGTCGGATGTACCTAAGGTGGGGTAACGGGGTCGGATGTACGCAGCCTTACCCCTGTACTAAAGCACGGAGAGACTTTTTCCGGATGACTCATAGTGAAAATCGCGTTGAAAATTGCATGGACTCACAGTTCAGTAAGCCAGTTTGCTTCATTCCATCGTATTCCCAAGCCAAAAAAGAGTGAGTCTTAGGCTCCATTGCAAATTATTTCCTAAAATGGAATGGGAATCTTTAAATGGGACACCCAAATACGAAAAGTCTAATTAAAGAGAGTAAATTATTTCCTAAAATGGGATGGGAACCTTTAAATGGGACACTCAAATAAGGAAAGTGGAACCTTTCAAAGAATCGGAGGGAGTAAATTTCAATCAGATTGCCCTTTCATAAAATTATGCATTCTAAAAACATTTCATAAAAGTGTGATTATTTCCCAACACACACATATACGTTTGTCTAAAATGTAACTAAAGTATAGCAATTCTCTCTACATGTGACTGCCACTATTTACAGATCTAACCATGGCGGCACAATAATTTTTTAATTTCTTAAACAATATGAAGAGTTTACACATATTTCAGAACATCCAATGAATGTGCACAAACTATGAGAGATCTGTGGCTTGAAGCTTGCACTATCAATAAATCGCCAAACAAAAGCTAACACTATAAATTCAATGAAAAAAACACAGACAGGGTTTAACACATGATGCCCATGATGTCGCAACTTTATCACACAAACATAATGTGAAGTAAATACCAAAACATTAATCACCACAAGTTTTTCCCACTTACACGGGAAATATCATGACACAACTGAGTTGAGATAACTGTATTATCATGTACCATTGCAAGATTGATATTGAAAACCAATCAGCACATATTAAATAATTAAATTTTTAGAATACAAATGTGGATATTCAATATGATGTGTTACCCAATGAGTACCAAATCTTAGGTACTTGAGAAATGTTCAAAATGAAAGAAACCTTTCGAGCTTTTACTTGTGTTTTATACAGATATTGCATTTTTGTTATGCCACATACTAGGAGCACAGAAACTCTGCATGACTTACATTTTTCTGTTTGGGAAACTCAGAAATGTGACGGGAATCTGGAATCTACAAATTTTCATTTCCCTACAATTACTAAAGTTAAAAAAAATTGGGAAACTCATTAACCTAAATAATATGAAGAAATATTAGTAAATATACCTCTACACTTTGTGTTCCAATGAGAAATGTGTAATTTAAGAATTAATAACCTAAATTGATCTCAGTTTGGAATTAGATATCTACAGAAAGTCAAACTCAAAGTTCATATTATTCTCATCAGATATCATATTATCAAAAACCCAACGTTGCGAAGGGTTAACGATGTGTATCCACCTTGTGATTAAAAATATGTTCTCGCAAGCCACATAAGACTTCGTAGTTCAACCATAACAGTTAAAAATGTATTGGTTATTTTTAAGTTAGCAGCTAAGGTAGGGTTCAATCAGAACTCAGAAAGACAATGAAACTCATAGCAGGCAATTGATAAAACCACTTTATGGCTTATATAATATTCAACCTTAAGTTTGGTTAGTGAGTGTCAGTCCAGTTTCTCAGAGATAGACTTTGATATGTAAGTATGCCTTAAATCATTCATTACACAACAAATATGAAGCTCATAAGCTATAGTGTACCAAACATAGACATAACCTTTGACCTTTCACTCTTTCAGGGTGTAAATAAAATAGGGCCTGGGTATGAAGGCTTGATTAAGGGCCTCGCTGATTTCTGGGCTACAATCCGATGAATGACCCAAAGTAGTAATTTTGGCATGAGGATTTTAATCCTTGCGAGACCCCAAATTCACACCAGAATGCCACCAAACAATAACAAAGAGGAACAGTGAGCTCCAGTATAGCAACCAATGATCCAGATATAGACTTGTGTTTGGGTTTGATTTTGGAGCTATGGGGCAACCAATTATAGGATTATTTCATCACCTACGAATAACTTTAACAAAATCCACGGATTGACTCATGCACAGCTAAACCAAATCCATAGGGCGAGAAATGTACCATAATTGAGTTGCCCATAGCTCCGAGAGTCAAATCCAAAATTGAATCGCCAGCAGAGAATTAAATCTGACCAAACAAAAATGGCAAACGAACTCAGTCTCGATCTCATAAACAAAACAGAGACAAAACGAGAAATCGGATTTCTTAAGGATCGTACCTTTTAGATATATTAATAGGGTTTTGATTCTGGAAACACTTGCGGAGTTGCGGATGATTGTTACAACGGCAACATTAGGGTTTTTCCTATTTTCTTGAATTCAATCTCATTTTTTGGAGAGAACAAAGTAACAAGCCCGTAATAGGGTTAAATTTTAATAGAGAATTAGCGAATCGATAGAGAATTTCGGATAAATAAATAAATAAATTATAGGAAAAATTTGTAGTAATAATCTTAATGATTATTGGCGGTCTGCTTATAATAATCCTAACTATCGATTATTTCAGAATAATCTCAATATTCCCAACTTTAGAGACCGTGCACCTATAATGATCCAATGTGACCGGCTATAAATAAATTCTTATAGTTTCTAAGAAGAGATATAGCAGGTAATGTCTATAAATAATCTCAACTTTTAATTTTTACGCTTAATTTCTATTTAAATTCACCTCTTATAGCAGGTAATATCCGGTCGTGGACCATTATTGGTGGACAGTCCATATATTTGGGATTGTGCAAAAATAATCAATAGTTGAGATTATTGTTAGCGGATCAGCAATAGTTGAGATTATTATTTTCAATTTTTTCTAAATTATACAGTAAAAATCAATAACTCAATGGGATTAAGACCATATCGGAGGCCAATGTTATAAGCATTCTTATTGTTGTCGTCATTCTTGCAACTGGAGTGCATATACCGAAAAAATCAATACCTTCTTTTTGTTTATAATATGGCCCTGAGTAACTAATAAGGCCTTATTTTTGTCAATGATTGCATCTGGTTTTAACTTCTTAAAATTTCATTTACATCCAATTGTACTACACCCGGAGGAAAGTCTACGAGCTCTCATGTTTCATTTTGAACAATGGAGTTCATTTCACTTTTAATGTTATCCTTCCAATAGATGGCTTGAAGTGTAGTCATTGCATCTCTAAAGAAAATTGGATCTCTCTCAATATTGTAAGTGATAAAATCAGGAATTGATCATAGGTTGTTTAATTGCTCCTTCTAGGCTCAACTAGATCAATTGATTCAAAATCAATATGACTAGAACTATCAAATTCTATCCTCACATTTGTCATCTTTTCCACTTGATCAAGAATTGAATTAAATGTGGTTTCTTGATTTTTAAAAGAAATATTTTGGGGCACATCCGTTTTCATTGGAAAAACATCTTCAAAGAAAGTAGCATCACGAAGTTCTACAATAGTATTGACATCTACGCCAGAAATTTCAGATTAAATAATCCAAAATCTCAATGCATAAGAATGTTCAACATAACCAATAAAAATAGCATCAACAGTTTTAGCTCAAGTTTCTTTCTTTTCTGTTCAAGGACTAATATTTTTGCAAGATAGCTCCACACTTTAAAATATTTCAGACGTGGTTTTCTGTCTGTCAAGAGTTCAAATGAACACTTATCTTTATGTTTCATGATAATTCTATTCAGAATATGGCATGCCATATTCAAGGCATCCCCCACATAAATTTAGGTAATCCAAAATTCTCTAATAAATTGTCAATCATATCTTTAAAGGTTTCATTTTTTCGTTCAGCTACTTCGTTTGATTGTGGTTAACAAGGAAGTGTTTTCTCGTGTAGTACACCATATTTTTGGCATTCTAGTACAACAAAATTGGAAGTAATTCTCCTCCCCTATCATATTTAATCCTTTTGATTTTCTTGTCAGTTTGATTCTCTATTTCATTCTTGAAAATCAAGAATTTGTCAAAAGTTTCATCGTTATTCTTAAGTAGATACACATAGTAATATTTTGAATAATCATCAATAAAAGTGATAATGTATTTCTTTTGATCATGAGTAGGCACTCCATTAAACTCACAAATGTCAGTATGAGTTAAATCAAGTAATTCCGAATTTCTATTAATTAAATGATAAGGTTTTCTTACTTGTTTAGAAGTAGTGCATACCTTACATTTTATAGTTTTACCAATGGAGTGCTTAGGGATTAAATTTAAATTCACTATGCTGTAAAGAAGAATTATCACTACTCTAAGATACATGATTCAATTCAAAACAATCAACCACAATCTTAAAAAATTCCATCTCACAAGTAACTCTTGCAAATAGAAGTTCCACCAAATAAAATTACAACTTTATTTAATTTGAAAGATAACTCATAACCCTTCCTAACAAGAATGGAAGAACGGAACTACTAACAATGTTTCTTTTAATTTCGGGAACATGATACATTCCATGCAAAGAAAGAATTTTTCCCGGATGAAAGTTTATTTCTACTTTTCATATTCCTTCCACAGTACTAGCACTTCTATTTCTCATCATCATTGTTCTTCTGACCGCAAGCTGATAAGAAACAAAGAGCGATTCATTAGCACATACATGCACATTCGCTCTTGTATCTATTAGCCACTAATTGGTATTAATAGAAAACTTGAGAGTTAATAGAAACATACCCATCGGAACTAGTTCCTGCGATCACCACATTGACTTCAGGTCTGCGAGATTGAGCCTTAGCCTTTTATTTGGGCATAATTTTCCTCAATGCCCCATCTGTCCACAGTTCTCGCATGGCGGTTTGCCTTTGATTTCTTTGCAATTTTAAATTTGGCCTTAATCGGTTTAAAAGATGATGGTTGCTTACTTTTAGAGTTATCTGCTTGTTTCTCCCCAGTTACAATATGAGCCTTTGGTTGAAAATCCATTGCGCAATGTAGCCCGCTTTCTTATGCTCTTCCTCAACGGTTATGGAATGCATTAAGTATTTCCAAGTAATCTTTTTCATTTTATATTTTAAAGTCATACCAAAATATTTTCATGGATTGGGAAATTTTTCTATGACTGTCATCACTTTAAATTTTTCTGGCAATTCCATATTCGCTTCACGAAATGATAAGCTCAAATTCTTGTGTCTGTTTTAACACCGATTTTCCTTCTTTCATGTCAAATCGTAGCAATTTAGAAACAATATTTTTTTTCGAGACTGTGGTCATCAGAATTATATTTCCTATCCAACTCATTCCAAAGGTTTTTGGTCGTCCCATGAAGGGTGCAATAGACATCAAACAACATGTCAGATAAACTCACAAGAATAATGTCTTTTGCAATTTCGTTTCTCTCACGCCAAATTGCATGACATTCAAAGACTTATGGGATTTTTTTGACAAGAAAACTTTTGAGATTAGATTCGACAAGTGGAGGACACACATTCATATTCACCTAAAACAAGCCCTTGGTGATTAACCGATTTTTCATGTGTTGTTGCCAACACTTGAAAAAATGTCCAAAAAGTTTTTCGGGCATCCCGGTTAAATCCACCCTATGCGAGTCAGACACAAAATTATCATTTTCAGGGGCAAACAAAAACATTTTCTAAACCAACAATTTCTTTGTATACAACATTTTCCAAGTTTGTCATATTTGGATTGTCCAAAACTCGAGAAATAATATCTTTTTCAAGATTGTTAGTAAAATGATACTACATATTACAATGTGAGTTTAACCAGATAAAAATCTCGAGTTTAAACAAATCACCAGACAAACCGCCAATGCAAGAACAGAAAAATAATAATTAGAAAAATAACTAAAATGAATAAAGAGAAAAGATGAGAAACCTTATCGCAGTATCGTCCGTAAAAATGGACTGGCCTTGAAGAAAGATAGACACATATCCCGATAGTTATTCAGACGAATCTGGCTAGCTCACTCCCAGGATAATCCTACCATGTTTCAGGCTCATAGCTATCTTGATCGAAAACTATGAAAACTATGATCTCAAACTATATATTTCTTTTAGAAAGGAAAAGAACTCACAGATTAAAGATAGTCATTTTGAATTTGAATTCAATTTAATAATCCGATCAGCTATTACATTATTCACACAATTAGTGAGTCTCTAGAATTACGACATTTAACTCCATCATTTATCATCCGCCCGGTCAGACGCACATATAAGTGAAAATTAAAATGTGACATCACCTCGTATGATACCTGAACAATGTTCCTTATCACATAATGATTATAGATAACTATAGGAGATTTATCCTCTAATACAGAACAAATAAATTCAAAACAAAAACAAAAAAGAATCCAAAACCATACTTAGGGACCAATTGAAACAAAAAAAGAATCCAAAACCATACTTAGGGACCAATTGAAACAAAGATGAGAAATATGCAGAAAGCTTTTCGTACAATGGCCTGTCTGGCCTTTTTCTTAACACCCAATTTTGAAACTTTAAGGCTCCAGTTACCAACACTCAATCTCCCAAATGCTGCTTTCTTCAGGTCTGGTCTATAGTAGTTATCTGCCACCTGGTTGATAACATTTTTTGCCATGATGTGGAGTTCCTTCTTCAGGTCTGGCCATAGTTGATTCACGTACTCATGAAATCTGCCTCAAGTTTTGAGACTTGATAACCGAATTAATGCTTAAATTTTAAAAACTGTAAATAGGCAAAGTATTTAGGAATAATTTGATTAAGATTATTTTTTATAGTTATATTACACAGAAAACGTGTTTTAATGCATTAGGTAGAACTCAATGAATGTATTCTGAAGTAGAGAAAAATCTATTACAATGTCAAATTTTTTGTACTGTGTTATTTAAAAAGTAAAGAAAGATCACTTGACCGTTTTCTGAAATCCATGTATAGTGACCTCAAATATAATCATTCCCTTAATATAATTTCTACACATATGAAAAAAAGAAAGCATGGTGTGAATTAATGTTTAGATGACAACAATGGTATACATTTAACATTCCTGGAACAAAACCTCTATCTGTTAGGGCATTCCTATTTGTTAAAGGATTTATTGTAAAAAGTACTCTGCCACATTAGCTTCTTCTCATGCAATCATCAAGCAGTGCATTTATTCTTTAGTTGGCTAATACATACATACTGAAATTTCAACCTATCCAAGTAAATGGATGTTCAAACAAACACTGAAAAAGTTTAATTTAAGTGGTAGCAATTGAAATTAGATGTAAATAAACATCACCCCCCTCATCTATTAGAACAAACTCAAACAATGTAATACCCAACTCCCGGTTCTGAAAAGACATCGACCATTTCATTGCAACCGGGCAAAAAAATGCAGCTTTCTTTTGCATCTCAACTTTGATGCTCGTCAAATTGAGCTTTAGAGAGGCCATTGTTTATTTTTACGAAAAGAAGAAGTATGAAAGATGTGTGGTGTG